GTTTGGAGGAACTCAAGGTTGGATCAGATGCTTCTCGGATGCCATGTTCTCATATCTTTCATGGTGACTGTATCGAAAAGTGGCTGAAGCAAAGCCACTATTGCCCTGTATGCCGGTTTGAGATGCCGACAGAGTGAAGAGCTTTTGTTTGTTTGTTTTTCTTGCTTCTCGTCGATGAGATAAACCTCTTCTCATGTTGGATAACTTGTTAATTGCTTTTGAAGAGGTAGTCTTTTCTTTCTTTTCATTAGGTTTTGAATTTAAGCTGAGTGTACATGATGGTAGTTTGCAGTAAATGGAATGAGTATAGATTACTTTTTTCTGGTTTTGTGTGTTTACATTTTAGTTATTTTAATGCTTGTATGCAGCTTTGGTCTGTTTTTTTATATATTTTCTTGTACTTCTCTGAGGCTTTACTTAACTGATTAATATTATTGTGGTCTGTTATCTTCTCCATCTCTTTCATATCTAATTAAGTTGTATTCCAGTTAGGAGTAAGCTCGGGAGGAAAGGCTGAAATCAATGCCTTGTACCAATGAAATAGATGCCATGAAAATTCCAGAAACATTTAACATGGCATTGTAAATCATCTATGTTCTATATAGATTATGTCTGTCTGTTTGTATGTAGTCTAAGCTCCTGCTGAATGATTGGTTATTTGTATTGAGGCAAATTAGCTTCTAACATAACAAACAAACTTTTTGTTTGTCGGTTAATATGTACAATTTGAAATACAACAGAATATTTGGACTGGTATGTTAGATTTCTGATGAGTTTATTGTCAAGTTGTTCTGCCCCAAGGGTAGCATTTAAACTGTGGTCTTTCAACCTGATTCCAATTTTTCCTGCCCAACTTGAAGCCTTGAACAAAACCAGGCATTTAACAGCTTTGTTTGTGTGAGAAGACCAAACATATATTACTCTTCACATTCTGCATCAGAATCCCTACATTTAGGCTTTGCTTGGTTTGTTTATTGCAATGAGAAAGGTGATTAGTCATACTGGATCAATGATCATTAACTCCCAATCTTTACAATGGTACCATCCAAAAGACTCATTCTACTACAAAAGTAATTCCACATGCCTAAATGGCTGAATTCTCAGTGGAGAATGGAATCAGTTTGCTCCAAATGCTGAAAATAATATGGATGGGTTCAAATTCTTGCTGGAAGAATAACATATAGACATCTCCTTGCTGGGTGCAAAGAGATCATTGCTACAAATGAGAAGTGTTCAAGATTTGCATGGCACCTAAAGTTTTATTCATTTTTTTTGTTCTTTAATCTAAACATGCTTTTTCTTTTTAAAAATAATAAATATATATAATATAATATAATAAGAATATCAATCAAAGGAGATCTTAAATTTTTTTGTTTTTAATCTTAACCTTCTCAATTGAATGGCAATCTTTTGCAATTAGTAAGGGTTAGACAAGTTAGCAAGCTACCAACTATTAGGTGAATAAACACCCCCTAATTTTTCAAACATGGAAAGAAAATGGAATTTGCTGTCATCAAAGAGCAAAGAGACTCAGACTAGGGATATGTCAACCCTGAGGAATCCAATTTGATGTATTAACAGTTGAAGCAATTTTAACTTCCACTAACATTTTCCTTGTTTTTGAAGTAGTTCTCTAGCCTATATCTCAAGAAGAATATTCGCCTGAACTATATCAAACATATACACTTTAAGATAGACAAAGTTCATCTTACAGAAACTGCATTTCTTGTAATTACTAATAACTTAACCAATGCAGTTCTTTAATCCATTTCTACCGATGTGAACTTCTAGATATCTTTTATCAGCTCAAACAACTTGAAAACTAGAAATGAAGGCATACATGTCTCCTATACAGCCTTCAACTCCTGCGTCTCAGGAACTTCCTTCAGAAAGTTAAGACTGGTTTGAGTGGTCTGCTTGCAGGGTGCTGAAGAAAAAACACATACAGATTTGTGAAGATCAGCTATGCTGGGTTTCCTTTGATTGCACCAGTGCATTTAAAGGAAATTAAAAGGGAAATTCTTTCATTACCTTTTGTGCTTTTCTTATTAGATGATAGAACAGATGACTTCCACTCATCATAAGCAACTTTCTCCATTTTCTTATGCCGCTTGTAACTTGAAAGCTGCAAGAGGATTGTGTTAGTGCTATTGCTATCGAACTTTTGTGTTTACTCCAAGAAATAAATGGAATTGTGCCGACCATTAAATGAGATTTTTGTTTTTAAAGAACAATATCACAAACTTCTAGCTTTTATCCGTAAAATGATTGAGTCCAATGTCAATGATTGCTCTAATTCTGTTAAAAAAATGTAAATGCCAGCCTCACTGATCATGGGACATCAAATATTTAGAATCACTAAGAAAGACTTGCAAGACAACAGGTGAATAATCCATGCAAAGCTTTGACATTAGAGAGTTTTAACCTATTGAATGACACAAATGGAAGTCAGATCAGAAAGAAACAATTTCATAGAATCATCACACTTGTGTGCACGCAACCAGTCAATTAGTCAGAAAATGTTACATACAATGAAACAGAAGACTTCATATCTAAAATAAGGACATCCAGCTTTCATCAGACAATTAATAAACTAAAATTCCAAATGCTGTAGTAGTACCTCTGGTCCATCATCAGATAAATAACCACCATCATCAAATTTTCTTTTCTCAGGTAACACATCTAGCAGTTCTGCACGCATCAAATAGCAAATTTTAGAGCATAATTCTCTGTGTGAACATACATGAAGATTGATAACCAACTCATGGTAATAAAATAAAGCAAAAATGCAAACGTTAGTAACAATGTCAAAATGGCAACAAATGCATACATGCATACAAATGCAAAGTTTAAGGTAAACAGAAATGAACAGTTACCTCGGTTGCCTTTCACCTCCTTGGGATCTTTCTTTTCCTTTGAGATTCCAAAAGCATCATGACATAGATCCTTCATGGAGGTAGAAACCTGTAGTTGAAGTTCCAAACCAACGCTCAGCACATTAAACAGACATTAAGCATTTACAAGTTACCATATTAAATGATCATATGTAGTGAGAAACCATGTTACTTACACAAGAAAACTCAGATTCAGAGGTGCCACAAACCTCAATCAACCTAACCTTGTCTATCTTAAGCTGTAAAGCAGAGAATTTATGTCAAAAACAGGTAAAGACAGGGGAAAAGAACATTTGAAAGAAGGATTACGCATATGCTACCTTGTGTTTTTTTGCACACAAGTAAAATGCCACGGCAGTAAACACTGGCCTAGTGAAGTCTGCACTCGCCTGTCTAGAAGCAGGCAATGATGCTGTAAACCGCTCCTTGTAGCTGACATAAACATCATTTAAGTCACTCAACTATTCAATTCATCAATTTCACAAAAAGGAAGAAAAAAAAAAGGAACCCACATCACTTCATCTGATAATCAAATGAAAAACGGTCATCAAAGTGCTGAGGATTGCAATCTTAACAAATTTGAGTACAGTAAAGATAGTTTAAATTAGGGATTTACCCTTTCAGGCATTCTCTCAAACACAAAGCAATCTTGAAGGAAACAGATTTAAAGAGACCAAAATCAAAGAACACAAAAAAAGGAAAAGGGTCTTACAGAGACAAGCTCTTTTTCACAAAGGGAATGAGCCTAACACATCCAAATTGAATCCCCAATTCTCTAATATCCAGCGTTGTCCTGAAACACCATTGTTTTTCCAAATTAAAATCTGAATTTACTAATACTTCAGTCTATAATGCAAAAATAAAGGGGGAATGGGAGCAACTCACTTGATATTTAGACCATTCTGCAAGGAATTAAAAGATCTATTGTAAGCCTTCTCTGACATTCCACATAACCTGATAGCTTTCTGTCTATCAAATATAACCTCCCCAAACCTACAAATTTCATTAAAATTACATCAAACAAAACATAATTAAAAACTTAGAACATATTCATTAACAAAGGAAAAAAGAAAGATACTGTATGTTACCTTGTAGCAGCAATTTCCAAGCAGATTATAGCTTTACAAACCTCTCCCTACAAAAAGGAAAAAGAAAGAATAGAATTAATGCTTCAACGTTTGACGTCTTATCAGGGGTCTAAAGTAAACGACTAGAGTATGAAAGTACTTACGACGCCTATAATGGAGGAATCAAACTGAACATCGCAGAGGCGGCGGAGCTCCGCTGCTTTTCGAACCAGCAGCTTCTGTTCTGAGAGACCGAGCTTTCTCGCTATGTCTGACAGATCCATATTGGCTCTCTGGAGAAATGGGTTATCGGATTTTCTTTGCTTTTCTTTATTCTTTTCCCACTAATTCTCTCTAGGAAGACGAAAGCTGCCTTTTGAAGAAAATGGAGAAATGCTCGAGGAAAGATAACTGACAGAGTTGGCGGGAGAAGCCGGGAATTTCCGCCCTTTTGTATTTGGCATATTTAGTTTTTTGAATTTAACGCGCGCTAATAGAAATATTTGCCTCTTCCCCGGGAACTCTTTGGCGCCAAAAGTGAATTTTGGGATTTTTTTTACAGATTCCTTTTAGAATTTATTACGTATTTACCAATTAATCAATTACAAAACCAAAATTATTATTTATTCAATGAAACATTTTTTTATTATTCAATAAAAATTATAACCATTTCGTGTAATAAACTCATAATGCTTTAATATTCCCTCGAGGTTTTTTCATGAAAATTAAAATAAAAATTTTGATTTTAAAATATTTTATATTAAAATTTTTAAAAAATTATAACATATTTTTTAGATTAAAAAGTTATAAAAATAAATTTATAATATAAAAAATATACATAATATTAGAAAAAATTCTAAAAATTAAATAAATTTTTTTATAATTTTTAATTAAATTATAATAATTATAAAATTTAAATAAATTTTTATAAATAATAATTAGCTAAGTGTTTATAATCTTTTTTTAAAAAAAAATTTAACAGTTAATAATTACCATATCACTTGTTAATAATTACCATATCACTTGTTATTATATGACACGTGACATTAATTTATCAACATATCATATTAAAGAATAACATAACATACTAATATAATATAATGAAATAACCACATCATTTTTCATTATCCACATTAACAACGTTGTGTCAACGTTATTTAATATAGAATAACAATTAATATTTTAATTAATAATAATTAAATAATTATTAATTATAAACTATTATTTGATCGAAAAAATTAGAGTATTAACTAGAGCAAGAATTTTTGTTTTTTGAGATAAGTCTAGATCAAGATAACAGTATACACATAGACAATATATACCCTAGAGGTATATTTTCAAATGAAACACAAGATTAATAAATAATTCAAAAATGGTATATGATCCAAGATTTACCCATAAATTATACAGTAAACAAATTGTATTTTTCTTATATTTGATCACATTTTTCAGAATACATTCCACACTGCAAAAACCATAAACTTGCCTATTGAGAGCCTAACTTCTGTAATTGAAGCTTGAGCTAAAACCAGAAAAATTTGCACCGAAAACACACGGTCTTGACCTTTAACTCAAGGTTCCAGTATCTCCTGAAAAGAATCTGCAGAAACCCATGAACATACAAGTAAATGGCTATTTCGATGAAGTTGTTGTTGGTTCTTCTGTCCCGCTGCCATGAACAAGCTGGTAACGAGTAAAAACAAGTCAACATCAGATTCATGATTAATGTGAAATAGAAAGATGATGTACTACAATTCACAAAGCAATGGAAACATACCAAGGAGCCAATTTGCTCGTATGCTTCCATTACTTTTGGATCTTCTTCATCTTCGTACCCCACTTGTAATATTCTTGGTCCATTGACAGACCAAAAGGCTCTTCGACCAGCCTCCTGCAGAGAAGGAATAAAAAAATTTGTGATGATTGGTATCATGGTGCAATACCTTTCTCAAAGAAGATGAATAAAAATTCATATAAGAGTGAAGAATACTAATATAACAAGGAAAAACAATTAGTCATGTCGCAACTAATCCGATAGCACAATGTTATAGGTGGAGACTTAAAGGCAAACCCTGGAAGATTTTTGATGTAAAAGCAACAACTTCAGTCTCGCAAATTTTCAGCTAATATTTGAGTGGTCTCACCATGAAAATTTTCAATTGCTCAAAGGACATAGAATATTAGTTAACAGATTTAACAGCGTGTTACACTTAAAATAGGAACAAAAGAAGTATCACTGATTTTGACCTGTAAAGTAATCAAGTAAATAGCTTCCAGTGCTTGAACACAGATCTCAGGATCCTTAACTGGTTCACGCTCAATGGAGAGTGCACTTCCAAGCTCAAGTGGCATTTTTGATGTGTCTTGTTCACTATATATCTGAGCAGAGGCCATGAGACAAATGGGGAAAAAGATTAAGGCATGAGCTTTTGCCGGATTAAACAAGAAGCTAATGAAAGACATGTCATGAGCTTTTGCCAGATTAAACAAGAAACTAATGAAAGACATGTAACAACATCAAGAAATGATGTCATAACACTATTTTCAGGAGCATAAACAATGCATTGGTCTATTAGTGACTATCCTCTTGAACATAGAACTAAAATTTAAGAGAGACACGTATACACAGCCAATAATGATATGATTTCTTAAGACTACACTCTTATTATAAGCCAACAGAAGATAAATATTTTAATCTACCAAGAAGCTGTGCAAAAGGTTACCTTGTTTCCAGCAACTGGCAGAAGCAGAGCTGGCCAAAGAAACTCTGATATCAAGAGTAAATTTTGTAGCTGATTCTCTGCTTCAAAGCAGCAGTTCCTAATAGTTCCAGACACCTGTAACCACACAAACAACCTGCTGATCTCTTGACAAGCTAAATGAATAGGTCTAGTCAGGAGCAAACTGGTTATATTTGCATAAGCTTGGCTACTTAAGCTTGATTAGGGCAAGCTTTGTATTTAAATACATGGTTGAACAGAAACTATTCACAACCCTAATCAAATTCATCTACCAAACTCTATGCAAGCCTACTATTGATCCCTCTGTTTTGTGTATCAGCTCTTTCCATTTCCCCTTCGGATTAATTTCTCGTTCATTAAGCTCTTATAACAGTGTGATGCCTGTCTCAACTTAAGCTTAGGTTGTATTATTGGCGGGCTAGCTTCCTAGAAGCCTATGATTAGCCCCCCTTCAAATGGTTCATTTATCAAACAACCCTACCAGAAAATAAGCAAGAAGCATTCTGAGGCCAATAAACAACTGTGAACAAGCAGACCTTGTCTCATTAATATCAATTTGGTTAATGCACGAAACTTCTTTCTCTCTCCTACCTTAGCAAGAGTAGCAAATTATCTGAAAGAACTAACATGTTCATACCAATAATGAATTAAAGAAAATGTTCGAATCACAGGATCCTCAAAAGGGCTATAAATAACTTTTCAGAAGGTTAGAAAAAGTTTTCAAATTTTTTTGGGCCAAGCATAATGCAAAAAAGACAAGTAGAAAATTAAAAGAAGGAAAAAACTATTGTTGATGATATAAGAGTAATACTAAAGAAACTTACTGCTTCATTAATCACTTTTACATACCCCTTTCTTTCTCAATGAACTAGATGAATCAAACTGTCTAATAATCTGCTTTAACAAGCCACGCTTAGGATCCAATAACATCTTCCTCCCTGCTTCTTTCTTTGAGATGTTTACAAGTATCGAACCAACATGATCAAAAGGGTCGTCTGGTTAATGTGTAACAAAACAATGTGAGGCCAATATTTGAAGGAGATGAATACAAGTACAAATATTCTTGAGTGCAAACCAACAACTATTAAGGAATAAAAGAAGGGTGAGAAGGGGAACTAAAATATCATTTCTTAAAGAGCTAAACTTAAGAATTCTAAGTCAGGTGACCTTTTACGGCACCATAGACGGAGTCTCAACTAATCAAGCACCTATTTTGAAGATTTTTTGACAGATTATGGAGGACTCACTGGCTAAGATCCTAATGCTGTTGCTTAAGACACAACCTGAAATTGTTTGCAGCCTGGTTAGGTAACAGGCTCACAGGCAGATTGCTTTCTATCTTTTAAGTATTTACATGATTAGCGTGTCCGAGGCAACAAGCAAACTTAGGAAAGAAGAAGAAAAACAAACCACCGGCTTCACTGGATCTACAGAATGATCTCACAAGCTTCATTACATAAAGTCCTTGCATCTTCTCATCTCCAATCTAATAAGCACATAGAGTGTCTTGATAAGTCATTAATCTTCCCCAAGGATAAGACAAAAAAAGAATGATAATGAGATAAGAAACTATACAAACACAGACCATTTACTATAAATGTTGCAATTTTTTAAAAAATTGACTTTACAGATGTCAAAGAGGATTGGTAAGAGTCATAGGACATGAAGAAAAGCACCTGAAGCAAGGAAGAAATACCATCATCCAACTGTGTTAGATTAACTAGGAGCATAACCAGCAATCGAGTAATGCTAGAGCCTGGCTTATACAACAAATCCATGGCTGTTTTAACCAACCCCATTTCAACCATCTTAGTAGCCAGTTCTGCATTTTGTGACAGATTTACAAGAGCTTCAGCAGCCGGTTCCGAAACTTCCTGCAACATTTTTACAATGAGAGAACAACTACGGTAAAAAATGCACTTCAAATCAAAATTTTAGATGCTTGTGTTAATAGATTCAAACATTTTCAATAGGATGCACTAATGATTAATCTAAACACGGGTTTGTGAACAAATACACCTTATCCTCACTCAAAAGCCGAGACAACGGTGGAAGCACAATGTTGGCGTAATTGGAAAGGGAGTGTAAGCCATCCTCAGACCCTGTCAATCCCCGTACAATATCGACAGCCGCCTTTTTCACCTAAGCAGTTCACATCAATAAATATTACTATTAAGTACTTAAAAAAAGGGTATAGTTAAAAACTCAATTAATTAAGCTTAAAAACAACAACAACCCTTTATTGATAAACTTCTATGCAAGAGATACATGACACCATAATTTCTAATAGTTCAAAAAAAACTAAAGCTATGGAGTAAATGGGATTTTCATGTATGAAATGACCCAGACATTTAATGTTTATCTTTGTTTGAATGCTGACAGATAAATAAACATAGATTAGACCTTGAAATCTAGTTAAAAGGCAACGTGAACTAAAAGTAAAACTCAGTTTAGAGAATTTTGCATCAAATTTCTATAAGCAGGCAAATGGAGGGTTAAGGAGAATGGACGGGAACTTACTGGAGGAGAGGGGGCAGAGAGGAAGTCTATCAGTTCTTCTAGTTCGGTCGCCATTGCCGTTCTTCTCTTGATGCTCGCGAAGCAGCGCACAAATTACAAAGGGAGTCACCCTCGAAGACTAACCGATTTGATGGTTCAAAACGACTTCGTTCTTGAATGCGTGTAAGTGAAAAGGCACAACGCAGCGTTTTGTCATCTGACATAAATAGTGTATATGCAATTGTTATAATATTTTTTATAATATTTTCAATAACTTTGATTTGCAAAATCAATAACATCAAAATACATTATTATTAAATTAAATATCAAAAAATAAATTATTATGTCTCGTAATCTTATCTATTTTTTAGTAACATCAATACAATATTCAATAACATAAGATTACTGAAGTATTAAAAACATAATTATTGAATTTTAAATAGTTTTATTATGAAGTTTTAGACACACCAATATTGAAATATCAAATTGTTATATAAATTTTTTCAATAACTTCATTTACATGATTCATAGTTATTGAAATATTAAGTACATAATTATTGAATATCTTATATCTTCAATTATCTTACAAAATGCTCTAAAATATCATATAGTTTTATAGTTTTTTCAATAATTTTAACCTTTAAAAATAGTAACCTTAAAGTACATGGTTATGTTTTGTAATTTTTAATTTTCTAATAATACCGTGTCATGAAGTTATTATCCTCTCCCAAAAGACTAACCTAGTTATATTCCTCATGTGACTTTAAATTCAATTACTTAGTTATGTTTAACCTTGTATTCTCTAAAAATAGAGAATAAATAGATGTATAAAAGCTTATATTCTCTTAATACAAAAAACATATTTGATAAGTAGTAAAACATTCATATTTATATATAAACGATCCATCAATTCTTATTAATGTAAGATTCATAACATTTTACCCGACTCACTAAATCAGCAAAGATCCGAATCTATTTTGATATTATTTGTCACAGGTCATTACCTTATTTTTGAAATATGAATTTGATAAAGTGCATTATACTACTACTTCTAAGTCACTTACATTCTCCATTCCGCTTGATATGAGATTTTTAAAAACATCTATTGCTTTCTTTTTTAAGCGTTAGCTGTAATATATTATACATACTTTATTATTAATTTTTATGAATATTTAGTAATATAAAATTAATAAAAATATTAAATAAAATTTATCAAATATCAAACTGTTTTAATTATTACAATATTACATATTTAATAACTAAAATATTAAATAATCTTATTTAACAAAATTAAAAATCTCAAAAAATATGATTTTGTTATCTATTATTTTAATATCAACGAACTTATATAGATATTAAATAACATAATTAAATATTAAATATCGAGTTATTGAACATTCCATAATTTTAATTAACAAACTATTAGATATTAAATTGCTAAAATATAGGATAATTCATAATAATTTTTTCAATAATCTTAGTTTGTAAAATCAATAACCTTAAAATGCATGATTATTTTTGTAATATTTATATATTTTAATAAATAAGACATTCTTTATATATATTAATAAAATAAAAATGACCAAAATAACAAATATAAAGTAAATTTGAAACATGAGAAATGTGACACCATGGAAAGCATTCCTTAAAGCAGGGAAAAAGCCTAAAATGTCGGCACGGACATGCAACGTGTGATTTAGTCACCGCCGGTTGTTAAATTCCGAGAAGAAAATAAGAAAAAAAAGAAATCAAATGATCATCTTCTTCGATTTTCACTTCTTGCTTGCGCTCAGGTAAATCGGATTCTCCATTCTTGAAACAATGGCGGATTCATGGATCTGATGATCTGTTTTTGTTTTTGGTGGCAGATGAGATGACGAGGTGCTGGTTTTTATTAGCAATTTCTTCGAAGCTTTGTTTAAGATGGTTTTGAGTAAGTACAATGGCGAATGGTTGCAAGAGAGAAGAGGCGGGCATAATCGGTGCGATTTTGAACTCGGTGGCTCGAAGCCAGCAGGGATTTCGTGTCGGTCGTCGAGGAAGGAGGTTTCCTCGTAATTTTAAGCTTAGATTCTTCCATTGGCTGGTGGCGCTTCTTCTAGCTGTGTTCTTCTTGCTCTATTTCGCTACCTTTGACCTTAAATTACTCTCCAATGGTCAGATTCGCACCTTTCCTTTTCGCTCGTTGACTTATTCTTGACGCTGCATTTTATTCATTGTCAATGACGTATCCAAGTTTTCTGATTTTTTATATAATTAATTTAATTTGTTTTGTGCAAGTGCAGGTAATGAGGAAGAAAGCAACCTTTCCTTATCACAAGAAGTACATCAAAAAATTTCCGTCCACGATGCCGCCCTGACGCCACCCAAAAGCAAGCGTCGTAAGCAGCGTAAGAGAAGTTTTTTCCTTAATTTTTGTTGCTTAAGAGCATTGAAAACATTTTGATTTGTTCAATGAGTGGTAGAAAAATGTTTGTGAAGGAGCAGAAAAGGAAAATCTGATTTATTATTCGTTTGCCCTTACTTACATTACAGTTGTCACATTGTTTCCCTTTTGGACAATGCTGGGAGAGAACTAACATGATTGCTTACTTCCCCGTCTCTATTATGATATGAACATGGAAGCTGCATTTTGCATTTTAATGTATTAAACCTTGGCATAACTGCATCGTACAAAACCAGAACAAATCTCGATAAAAACATGAAGGAATGTTTGTGCAGACTGATAAGTTTCCATTCATTTTCTTGTTCATGGCATGAGTAGTGAGCTATTCTACATAGTAATGAATTGCTAAATCATATACGAACTCCTAGACAGAACATAACTTGTCAGTTGTGATTTTTTGCTTTGTGTGAATGCTTTATCTAGATTGTACGTCGACTAAATTGTCAATTTCTTATTGATAATCAGTTGATTTATCTTACTGATATGGTTAATTAAGTCCTTTTTCTTCCCTTTTTTTCTTGACTGAAGATCTATATCCTTAAAACCACCCTTATCTTTTATATATTATTCTATGCCTAACACTATTTAGTTTTGTTTTTGCTCCACGTATTATCTCTCAGATTTTCCTTGTGAAGTTGGGCTTGCTGCAGCAGTCGATAATATTTTAGAGCCCAAGAATTATATGAATTTCACACAGTTCTCACTAGAATATGTAGAGAGGGAGAAGAATCCTTTGCCTGCCAATTCACTTGAGAGTAGATTTGGAGGTTATCAAACTCTTAAGGAAAGAGAGAAATCCTTTGTTGCAAGGAATCAAACTATTCACTGTGGTTTTGTCAAAGGCCAGCCAAGATTTTCAAGTGCTGGTTTTGAGTTGAGTGAAAATGATAAGGCATACATGAGTACTTGTCGGGTTGCAGTATCTTCTTGCATTTTTGGGAGCTCTGACTTTCTGAGGAGACCTACTAGCAGATTGGTAAATGATACATTTCTTATCAAATCTCGTTGTTTGCCATGTTTCCATGTCTGAAAGATGTGATAATGAGCATCTTTATTTCAGATGTCTTTTGTCTTAGAGTGAATTGGTACTTCTTTTATGCATTCATGATTCATATAAAGAAGCATAACATTTTCTAAAGAAAAATGGAAACAGTATTACATATCACCTGTTTCAACCAACAAGAGTAGAGAGGATGCAAACTTGAAGATTTTGAGCCAGCAGAAAAGAGGGATTTCTTCAAAGTATTGTTGGTTATGCTAAATTTAAATGCATTTTAGAGGGTTTAAAGGGATAGACATGCAAAACAATTTTATTGAAAACTTCACTGTCAGGATACTTCAGTCTGATGTATGTAATGTATGCAAGGTATGATTGACTTTCTAGTTTGATTTTTGTCTCTGTTTCCTTCTCATCTGTTGTGAATCTTATCCTGGATGATATCCTATTCTTCACTGCCTAGCTATGCTTGAGTTGACATGTCTAGTTGAGCATAGTTTCTGTGACTTTTAACTAAATGTTGATACAGTAATATATTGGAAGAAGCAAAGATGTAATCAGTTTGTAGTGTTGCTTTAATTTTAGGATGATTTCCAAAACTTTCTATTCTGTCAGTAATGCGCTATATCTTTTTGTTTGTTTCAGATTAGTGAATTTTCCAAGAAAAATGCGTGTTTTGTTATGTTTGTGGATGAGCAAACGTTATCAAAACTGTCTTCAGAAGGACATATTCCTGATGAGAGAGGATATGTTGGTCTGTGGAAAATTGTTGTTGTGAGGAACTTACCATATTTGGACATGCGGAAAACTGGAAAGGTGCCAAAGTTTTTATCACATCGCCTCTTTCCTTCTTCTCGGTAAGGTTACATCTCTAGTTTGTTAGCCTCATGCTTATCCTTCTAAGTCTGACAGAGTCTTTAACTTAAATGCTATAATTTAATGTTTATTTTCAGGTATTCAATTTGGATTGACAGTAAGATGCGACTTAATACTGACCCAATGCTAATCATTGAATTCTTTTTGTGGCGAATGAGAGCAGAATATGCCATTTCCAACCACTATGATCGCCATTGTGTTTGGGAGGAGGTACTGCAAAATAAGCGTCTAAATAAGTACAACCATACAGCCATTGATGAACAGTTTATGTTTTACCAATCTGATGGCCTCATGAAGTTTAATCCTTCAGACCCAAATACTCCTCTTCCAAGTTGTGCGTATCTTGGTGTCTTTTTATGTTCAGACATCAGCTTTCTCTTTTTATCTTAGCTCCCATGTATACCAGGTACTGATTTGTGCTCAATGCACCCTGCAGATGTGCCCGAAGGTTCTTTTATTATCCGGGCTCATACACCAATGTCAAATTTATTTTCATGCCTGTGGTTCAATGAAGTTGATCGATTTACCTCACGTGACCAACTAAGCTTTGCATATACTTACTTGAAGTTGAGGAGAATGAATCCAGATAGGCCGTTCCATCTAAATATGTTTAAGGTGATTTTTACTTTTGCAGAGAACTGTAGTCTGTTATAGTATATCTGTCACCATGCTGTTTGGTGCAGCGGCATACTGTTGCTAAAGTATGCTTTCTACATAGAGATTTGGTCGATTTCCTTTCTAAAGCTTTTGGAATATTATGATTGAACTGTTCACTATGTGTTACCAAACTCTTGTCTATCAAATGGTTTATGTGACATCTGAGATTTGTAAAATAAGCTTCACATTGATGACTGCTGATAGCCATTGAATCTAATTGCTTCTCAAATGCTATTGTTAGAAAACACTAATTTGCAGGTTGCCCTGATGCATGTGGTTTGCTTTGAGATTTGACGTATCCATCTGACAAGTGACTTCCGGTTCTTGTAAAATCTTCCCGAAAGTAGTTCTGTTGCTGATTTTCAATGGTTTCTGAGTCAATTGCATGCAGCTTAACAATTTTCAGAAACATGGATCCTTTGAAACCTTCATGTATGTGGGACCAATTGCCCCAAGAGAATTGAAGCAACTTTTTTTCCTGAGTCATTGTTCCAATGACATATTACCATGCTAGCACTGAAATTCAGAAATAGAAAATCTTCTATGAAGTGTTTATTTTCTTGTGCTGTATACGAGATGGTTCCATGCTATGCATGAATAACACATTACTCATAATAAAGTTTACTATTTTAAGGATTAATATTTGTGTAAATTAACTCTATGCAGGACTGTCAGCGTAGAACGTTAGCAAAGTTATTCAGGCATCGGACGGTGCCTTCTCCGCCACCTCCTTGATTAATCAGGTATGATGAATGGCTAATTTTCCATGTATAATTTGTATCTAATGCCTGCTTATATCGAAGAAAAAAGTTCTTGATATTAACTCCAAGTTTAGAAGGTAATGGGTCTGCCTTAGCACCTTTTATACTTGTAGGAACTCTCATCCAACTGTAGCTGGTGATGGCAAGTTCCACCTGCAATAGTTTTCCTCAATCTTGACATTCATCTAATACCAAGTAGAACATTTCTATGAGTAAGGTCTATGGTGAATTATGTTGAATTTGAGTCTATCGTAGTCCTTGATCGTATTGCTTTGACTGTATCTTTCAGTCAAGAAAATAATGGGTGTGGAACCACTGCTGATGGTAGATGTTTAAAGTTGATTGCATTATCTTCAACTTTTGACTTGTGAACCTATGACATGCTGCATGTACTTTTAGGTCAAAGCTAATGTAATCTGCTTCAATAGTAAGAATATAGTTTGTTCAGTGGAAATCTCTTAGATTAGACTGCAAACTGGATCATACTATCATTTGATTAGGCATCAATATAATCTATTGGTGACATATGAGCAACTTGTTTAAATATGATGGAGTTCAAACCAGCAAGTTGCAGGTCGGGGTAGGATCCATTGCATTTAAAATTAAACAAACTCAACAGGAGCATATTAGTTAGACTAGTTACGTGGATCATGGATGACTCAGTGCAAAGATACTTGAGTTCAGAGAACTTGTATTGCAATTAGACTTATAAGCTGCTACATATAAAATTGTAATCCTGAACTTCTCGAATTTTTATTTACAGAAAATTATGCTAGTTTTCTGGGAGCGCAAATGCAGTCTATGCAGGGATATCCACACTGAAAGTGAAAAACAGGAGTTATCTATGTAGTATACCTGCAACCCTTCTCTTCCAGGAATCTTTACACATGGACTTTCAAGCTTGGCAGGAATTAACGTTGGGCCAGTTTATTCAGATATTTGTAAGTGCATAATACTATTGGCAGAGTAGCCTTTTGCTGAAGAAATGGAGCGTTTTGGTGGCCTTACGAAATGGTTCAATGTGACTTCAAGCTAATAAAGATCTATTGCTAAAGCTTAATTATCGTGGGTTGTATTGAGAATTTGAGGCTATCGGAGTGAGGCTTAAGTTTATAGAATTTTTCCATAATCATGGTTCTGTGAATCATTTGGAGATGAGACCAGAGAGTGTTAATTGTGTGCAGGGGAAAATTCCATTGGGATTACTCTGCCCTGTTTTGTCTTAGTTCCAAGTCGACTCCTAAATCCCCACCCAGAAGGAAAAAGAAGAAAGAAAACAAAAATACAGTTAAAAAAAAAGAAGATGCCTAGTGCTTTCAGAACTTCCCATAATGCTTTGTAATATCCTCATATTCTTTCAATTTTGAATAGATAAAGAAACTAGCAGTCGGTATGCATCTCCTCGTTCCCCTGTTGTAGTTACTTTGATGGATTCTGTTGATAGCTTTGTTTTTTATTTGTTATTGTTGGGAAGCAATCAAAACTGTTGGTTTCTATTGTATTTCTCAGCATCTGAAGACTTGACTGTCATCGTGCATGCCAGTCATGCTGCTGCTGTCTTGTTTGCTGGAGAGGGGATATGCTGTTCTCTCTTGGTAAGAAAGAAAGGTAATAAAACTGTGTGAACATGCAAATTCTGTTGATGACAATTTCCTACCGCCTGCAACGAAGTACGTGCTGTTCAGTTACACAGTAAGCCAAGTTCTGGTCTGTTATGGTTTTTACTTACCAATTCTCATGAATTCTGTGTTGTTTCAGCTCCTTGTAACTCTATAAATATAGTCTTGTCTTAGCCTGCTGAGCCAATAAACTTGCCCACTGCTGCTGTTACTAACTTATGCACTGATCTAGTTTGGAGCTGTCAAGGCTGAAAGTGAGTATTGGAGGGAACTTAAACAAAATGGACTTCCTTGTTTCCATTTTGTTAAGTTTTCTCCAATATCTCATTTCCAACCTTCACTCTTTGAGACAAGCATATTTGGTCAACAGGTACCATAAGGATTTATAGAGCTTTTCACTTTTGGATTTTGGTAAAAAAAAAAAAATGATTCTACTCATAGATCGAGCACGGGTCTATATTATTGAATCAAATGTTTAAATAAAATTTTATTAAAATAATTTATTGGTACGATGTTATAAAGTAATTAGTAAGTGATTGAAGCTCCTTTGTAAAGATCTCTCTTCACTTTATTTTTTCAAGAATCTCTATTACATATTCAATTAAAAGTAGCTACAACTAAATTTCTTGCATTGCAATAATGAGGATTAAAGCAAACCACCCATCATCAATCATCAAAGCTATAATTTAAAGGGTTAATAATAAAAAAAAATACAGTGATTTGAGATGAGATAAATTTATTTTTTTTCAAAGTTTAAAATATGATATTTAATTATCTTGGCCCTTTTTTCTTGGTTAAAACTTTCTTGATATTTTTAAGAATAAAATAATTAAAATATTTTTTACTTCGTAAAATTAATAATAATAATAATACTATTAAAATTTTCAATTTGAAAATGGGCACTGAAAACAACAATGAAAATTGTAGTGGTGAGTGAACCGACGACATTAACACATAGATGGCTAACTTGCGTGCAATTTTGGGTAAAATAAGGTGTAAAATGTTAAAACAGGGAGAGAGAGAGGGAGAGAGAGAGGGGTGTTCTGTCTTAGCATTGATCACCCAAGTAGAAGAGACAAGAGAGCAGTCCGGTTCCAAAAAATGGAAGCTTGCATGACGAAATGTTGCAATAGCAACTCTCTCTTGAGAGCCCTTAATCCCTTTCGCAGCTCTTCCATGTCCATGCAATTCCACTCTGGTTTTTTCACTCACCCTTTCCTTTTCTCTTTCAGGAAACCAAAAACTTTGTTCTTTTGGTTTAAATTTTATTGATTTGGAATCTTTTGCAGTTAGAAATTCGGTTAAAAAGGCATACGATGGGCTGCTGTTGGACGCCGCAGGCACTCTCTTGCAATTGCCGAAGCCCGTGGAGGAGACTTACGCTGCCATTGGGGCTAAATACGGTCACTTTTCAGCTGGCTTTTGATTATTTTTGTTGTTGTTTTTTTTAATAAATTTAGATATGTTTTGAATGTGGGTTTTGCATTATCTCTTGTTTGCTCTGGTTTTGAGATGGCGTTTCTTGATTTAACGCGTGAAATTATGGTAATCCCCGTGTTTAGTGTTCTTTAAATTTGACAACTTTTTGCTTCCTTGCAGGTCTGAAAGTGAGTTCAGCTGAAATAAAGCAAGGATTTAAGAGGGCTTTCGCTGCTCCCTGGCCCGAGAAGCTCCGTTATGAGGTTCCTTGTTCTCTTTCGTGCTCTTTTTATTGTCATTGCGTGCCTAGATTGTTGCTTTCTCAAGTCAATGCTGGGAACTGGATGTGAATTATGTTAATATTCTTGATATTAGATAGGCGAATGAATCTGTCATGAACTGTTCAACAACAAATTTCATTGTCCGTGCTCTGTTAATACATTTAATTTTCTGAACTCTTTTCTTTAAAAGGAATGCATTGTATTAATCAGGGAAGGTCTTTGATGCGCTTGCACGTGTGCATGCATCACTACCAGTAAGTATTGGCTATGATGCATGCTATTCTAACCATTTGCACTGACCTGAAAACTTGCTACATTTTGAGATCCATTTCTTTACAAAGGTGGTCGGCTTTGATACCGTGTTATTAGTAATTTATGAACTGAAAAGCAAAAAAAATGTTCACTACCTGTCAGTTTTTATTAATACCCTCTTTAGGGAATAACTTCCTTTGTAGTGGACTGGCAGCTTTTACTCTTCCTTGTCATCCATTCAGTTTGATGTAATGTTGCAGACTTAGGTTTCCTAGCTACTTGCTAGAACTTGATAGAATCAACTTCTGATAAAGTATCATGACTCCTAATTTGTAACTGAACACCAATTCCACCTTTTGTGTGTTGTGTTATTGACAGGGAGATGGGAAGCCTTTCTGGAAACTTGTTGTTTCTGAAGCCACTGGTTGTTCCAATGATGATTACTTCGAGGAAGTCTATGAGGTGATGGTCGGAGACCTACTTTTTTCCATTTTCATGCTCCTTGGTCCGACTATATTGAAGTAATGAAAAGAATTTCAAGAAATTAGGTGGCTGCTAATAATTACCCACGATTCCAAACTACAAATAATGGTGTCAGCGGTTCATTTATGATGAATTCTTTAACCTGAAGCCTCATTTACTTCCTTTTTCAGCATTATGCAAATGGCAATGCATGGCATCTTCCAGATGGAGCTTACGATACAATATCCGTTCTCAAAAATGCTGGAGGTCATATTCATCTAGTATTCCTCTTCTTTGTCTTTCATAACTAACACTAGTAATACAGAGTGGTGAGAATGAACTATTTTTCCTCCTATTTATTTCTCATATGGTGAGTGATGGCACAGTCAAAGTGGCTGTCGTGTCCAATTTTGACACCCGATTAAGGAGGGTATTGAAGGACCTCAGTGTCATAGATCTGTAAGTATCAGTACTTTGTTTATTCTGTTGTCTTGCAGTTTTGAACATTAAGCAACTTCTTTTAATGTATTAATTATTCATGACATAGTAACAAAAGTTTGCCACTCTGGTCAGAAAAGAACTCAAGTTTCAACTTCTGTTTTTTCTCTTAATTAGGAGTGCCTGTGTCTTCTTACTGCTGAAACTTGGGTTACCTCTTTTCTATACATGAGATCGATTTATTTATTTTGCGTACCTAGTTTAGGTCCTCTTTGCTCGGTATATATTGGTTCATGCAGAGAAAAAAGAAATGAAACTTTGGTTTCATACCTCCATCTTGTTTGCCACTTCTATTTTGATGTAGCTGCCTCAAAGGAAAGACAGGGCATGGGTTAGTTTTGAGTTGTAACCGCATATAATTTCTTTTCAGGTTGGATGCTCTAATCATATCTTCAGAGGTTGGTTATGAAAAACCAGATGCAAGGATATTCAAAGCTGCTTTAGGTTTGTCTTAAAGCACCAAAGTATTGTCTTGGATTCATTGCTAAATAATATATTTACTACTGTGTTGTGCTTGCCTAAATTTTCCATCTCAGTACTAGCTTGGCTATCAGTTTGTATAACATGTTGTCTCTGTTTAGAAACTTAAGGATGAAGGGGGTTATATCTCTTGCTGTGTTTAAAAACTTGAGGACAGTGAGTGTTATATCTCTTGCTGTCTACTGCAACAGTCTGTCTACATATTTCACTAATGATGTATTGGATGTTCCACGTGATATGGGATTATGGATGCATTCACTGTTTCATACGTTTTCAGGTGCAGGAATATTTGGAGTAATAACCATATAGAATAGCATTGAATTAATTCTAGATTTCTCTGCATATCACTAAGCATTGAGAATTTCCAATTTAATTGGTCTTGGTGATTGCTATTTTCCCTTAGAATTGCATGATAAAGTACAATAATCCTGTAAATAGCGAAGTCTTTTGTGCTTCTATAAAATAAGATGATTTACTTAGAGCCCATCACCCTCCTCACCTTTTGAATATATAAAAAATATTTGTCCAATTATTTATTCAAGACATTAACAAATAAATTCACATTTTCTCACAATAATCCAAAGACCAAAAATGAAGGTAAAAAAGCCCTTTCGAAGCATTCCTTAAAGTTGTTTGGAATTATTGTAGATCAAATTGGCCTGGACGCCGGCAAGGTGGTGCATGTTGGGGATGACCATAAGGCAGATAAGGTGGGAGCCAATGCTGTTGGGATCGATTGCTGGTAAAGTCTACTTTCTACTTGTCTTGTAAAATGACAGTATTCCGATGACATCACAATCGAACTATTAACATCACAAACATCCATTCCCATATAAGTGCATCATATTTGAAACTGATGCCTGTTCACTCGCGTGTAGGTAGTAGTAGATGTAATTATAAAAAATAACGATTTATGGAGATTATACTCACCCATTGATCTTAATGACCAGGTTGTGGGGGAAAGATGTTAAAACATTTGCAGATATACATAAGTTCCTCCTCATCTCAGATTCTTCATAGCTTCCAGTACTTTTTTAACTCCGCAAATGGAAAATAAAGTCTTGTTATGATGGGGTTGGCCATTGATTTGACCTCCAAGATTGTTCCACATGGTAGCAATGGTGCTTTTACCTCCTAATTGGATTGAACTGTCACACATATTCACTTACTTTGTATTTATTTGGATTTTGGAATCAGGGACTCACGTCTTAAGCACATTGAAAAATTTTCTATATTGGGAAGCCCATGGTTACTTATTTGACTAAAAATGGAAATGGTTGTGACGAATATTTCCAGGTTGTACATCCAACCAACCAGCCAATATTCGAGATTACATGCACTGCTTACCAATCCTTTACATTTCTCAGTGTAACCTTTCGATTTTGATAGATTATTCTTAATGCTTTTGAAATATCATATGGCTCCATGATATGACATTCGCCACATTTCCAGAGACAAAGCATGAGTAGAAATAGCCACGGGCATACTCAATACTACTACAAAAGAAAATGATAAAAGCAAAGAAACGAAGGAATGTGTCAGCTGCCAGTAGACGGAGTCACTGATAATAAAGGCAGCCGGCTGAACCCGCCTAATATGGAAGGGTGCAAAAGAGTGGATATCGGGAGAGAGAGAGAAGGAGCGGTAAAATAGGAAAAGCAGAGATAAATCGATATCCATTCAAACATATGGAGATACTGCATAGTATTGAAAAACAAATTTTTCACTTACCAACAAGGGTACAATTTCAATTGTCAAACACTAACCTTTCCACCGGAAACAAGTGATGATCTGTTGAACCCAAGTCTTTACGCTAGATACCGATACAATTTCCGATCATTGTTGTCCCTTTCCAAGAAATCCCGCTCGATAAGAGACTCAATCCGTTTCTTAATCTCCGTAGGATTGGCCAGGAACCGCGACTGCAACTGCTTTGTAACCTCAGCTATTATATTGTTGTGATCCAGCACCCTCCTTGATTTCATGATCCTAACTATTGCAGCTTCAATCTGTGGCTTCCTGTCCTCCTCCACTCTTTGTCGCGTCTCCTGCTTTTCGGGTTCTGATTCCTTTTGTGCAACAACAGTTCCTATCTTCACTTTGTAGAATTTGCTTGTGAACTTATCATTGACAAAAAAAGCATCATCCTCCCCAATGTCTTTACTCATAGGTTCTTTCCGAAGAACATTCTTTCCCTTCACACATGCCATTGATTGCAAGCACCTTTTCAAGTCTGAAGCAGGGATCTCAGTGGCTTGTTCAATCTCCTTGTAGCTAAGCCTATCAGCATTGTTAAAAAGCATCAATACACACATTTGATAAGTTGAAACATTCAACTCATGCTTCTGACCCTTCCCAAAAATTGCTTTTATATCTGCTGTCCCCATGTTAGTTTGCCAGGACAACCTCCGACCAGTATGGGTTCCAAGATAATATGACCGAAACTTCTCACACAGTGCTGACATTTCAGCGGGCAGGTTGCAAGTAATACTAGGTTGAGTGGGCCAAGACCCTGTTGTTAGAACCTGAACAACTAGAGTAGGGCCATCTGCTAGCTCTGGATGGCATCCGTAAAACCCTTGCATTGTGTCCTGGGAGGTCTTCATGTCTGTGAACATGCCCTCTAATTTCGAAGTAAATTGATACCCGCATTCTGTCTTAAGCTTGACTATCAGACTTCTCTCTGCATCATCAGATACAGTTTTGCCTGACAAAAGCCGCTTAGCTAAGTGCTGTTTGTAGTACTTTTCAAACACATCCTTCTCCTGCAGGTAGCGGAACAGCATCATAACTTTGTCAAGAATAATCTCCACATCCTCCTCACTGACTCCTTTCAAACCTTTTCGAAGTTTGTCATCCACAAACAAAGAAATGAACTCCGGAGAACGAGGATTCAAATTAATGAAATATTCAAAAGAGGAGTTCAGAGCATTCTGGAATGTCTTGTCATTGCTAAACGCCAAGCTAATGATATTATCATATTTGTCCTTTTCATCCAAGAGCCGCTGGACAAATTCCACAGGATCTTTCAGCCTTTCTGGATCAGTAACTAGCTGTTTACCTGTTTCCCTGAGGTGAGAAGTCATCACATCTCGTATTGTTAAGAGACCGTTAGGAACTCTTCTAAATAAATTGTACATTCTTCCCAAGTCTTCATACTTGTCATCAAGAAGCATATTTACCAAGCCTGAATTCTCCATGTGAACTAGTCTCAACATGTGGTTAGCAATCATCTCCTTCTCCACCACATTAGTTATCTTGGCTTCACTCTTGGCATCCAAATAGTGGGTAACTCTCTCTATTTCTTCATTCAGACGTCTCTCTGCTTTCTTCAGATAGTCCCCACAATCACAGCACTCGATAAATTTCTGAGATTCGCCCTTATAAAACTCAGCAGAAACCTCAAGAAATGGCTTCTCAAAATCCTCCTGGTAAACAGAAGAACCCAAATCCATAAGCATCTTGATTACATTCCTCATCAGCCCCCGGTCTATAACTTCACCAGTTCGCTCTCTATGTACTAGTTCAAGAAGAGTGCTCAGAAGCCTTGTATGTATTTTGCTGGAATGTATAATATTATCCCTCCACAAGTTAAGTCCCAGCTCATGAACAGGGGTTTTACGGCTATTTGGAATATAAGTCCGGTCCATGTACATCAATATGTCTCGAATCATTTGCAATGCCTTGTTGTGGTCATTCCATTTTCTGTTCAGCTCTTCAAGAAACAAACCACCTTGAGCAGCCTCTATAGCTTTTGATATTTCTTTCAGGTGTGCAGTCATAGTTGTAACAAGTCCAGAGTACAGCTTATCACCAAATTTGTGCAAAACCATATTGTATGCATTCCTGAATTCATGGCAAAAAGCCAATATTATAAAGAAAAAATCTAAAATAAGATGAGCTCACGTGCAATTCACTTAGAAAAGGTTGCAATGAGAGAGATCTATTGAAAGCACATAATCACTGGCCATTTCAAGAGCAAGATTTTAAGATTTCTAGAAGATATCATTATTATCTGAAACCAAATAGGCAATGCCAACTCCAGTTGAAGACTCTCGGCAGTAAAAGGATGACTTCTGAGTTGTCCATTCTTATCAAATGTGTGTGATAAATCCACTTGGACAAAATGTAAAAATAGATGGTACATAATATAAAAAACCAGAAAGGCTCAAGATAGATTGCACTTAAATCATCTTTAGTTTGCTTGCATAGAAAAGCAAGAAAGAAGCATAAAAGAAAAGACTCTAATAACCAAAATTCATATCAATAACAAATTTCTACAAAACCTCTTGTTTTTCATCACTGTTCATTGAAGCGGTACAAGAATCTTTTTTCCTATCCCCCTTCTATTATGCCTTTTATTCTTTTCTTTTTTTTTGGAAAGGATTCAGTTTGGAGTTTCAATGATTTGATTCCGAACTAACTTTCCCTCTTTCTGATGAAGACATGCATTCCCACGTCTAATCTGTTGTACATCTTCACTCGTAACATTAATGTTCTAATCACAGAAGGGCCACTGCAATCCAATGAAGCCATTGCGGGCAAAAATGAAATCCATGAGTCCAGCGAAAGAATTGGCAATCAACCCAGGAAACTTTGCTCTGGCATAATATATAACTAACATATATAATAGATAATCTTGAACATGCAGAGCAATGTGCTTAGTTCAAAAGTAATCTGAAAACTAGATACAAGTGAAACCATTACTACTGTAGAAAACAAACATTGTGTCTCATGTAGTGATCCCTATTAAAAACGATACTCTGATTCATTGTTATCAAAACCGATAAGAACAATACAGATAAACACGTTGAACTTTTTGCAGCTTATCAGACCTGAGACCAACAGATCTTTCCTGCCAATCACACCAGCATAAATAGTCTACCTTTATAATGAGATCAACCACACGTGTCCAACACAAAAACATTCTCAGCCCTAAAATTATCCACGGAGGGACAATTCGATCGCTTGCAACATGTCAGTTACTAAACCACTCCAAGCACAATTCGATTAAATCTCTCTGAGCTGATTACCTCCATATTCATTTTTTAGAACCATTTTCAACAACTTCATAACCTAACTTTTGCGCTGGAAATCCATAATTCCATATACAATCTTATGGATGAGAAACTCTTCATATTTATAAATTATTTAAACACCAAACCCTAATTAAACTTGCATCCGCAACTTCTCTATAAAATTCAAGAAAAGTTTCAATAATCTAAACACACAATTATTTCTTGATAACATATCCATTTCTGCATCGAATTTACAGCAATAACCAACGTAACCAAAAAAAAAAAGGTAAAAATATTAAATACTGAGATCGAAAATTTTAAAAATAACATAACATATTAGGCAGCTACAAACAATCAGGCACTTAAATTACATAAATTAATTGAAAATTTTAAGATAAACTAATTAAAAGAAATAGCGACAAAAACCTGTAAAGCTCTTCAAAACTGAGGCCACTAGCATTATGATTGTAAATCTCGTGGATTGCATGTTCAAGAATGTTCCAGGTCTTCTCTGAGTATTTCGGATCCACCACGACTCGGTGCTTGAACGCTTCTATCTGGAAATTCCTTTTCTTTTGATTACTCATTCCTTTCCTTTCCTTTCCTTTCCTTTCTTTCTTTTTTTTCCAAATCCGAAACCCGAATCCAACCAAAACGCGCCCAAAAGAAAGAAAAACAAAGAAGCGATCAAAAATTAAAACGATCTATAAAATCGTCCGATTAAAACCACTTTCAGCGAAAACTAGCCGATTCACCGTGTCGAAAAGGGGGAGGCGCGGGGCTAGGGTTTGAAAATGGAGAGATTGTTTTCCCGATTATCTGCTTCAGATATACAAGAAAAAAGAAAAGAGGGGGAGATTAGAGCAGCAGACAGCAGACCTAAAAATGAAAATTTGGAATTTATTTAAATTAAGAAAGAAAAAAAAAAGAGCAACAAAAATATAATTAAAATAATAATTATTTAAAGACTATTTATTTACTTATTAAGAGGAAGTTTGAAAATGAAAATTATTTTTTAAAAATAAAAATATTTTAAAGAGAGGGAGGAGAAGGTAACGAAGATTTCGCCCTTTTCGGTTGGGTTTTTGGATGCCGTTTGGTAGAAAGATGAAGTAATTCTTTAACCCTTTTTAAATCAAAGCGTCTCGATGGGGGGCCGACGGGCCGACCTTCTACTATTAATCTTTTATTCCTCTTTTAGGCTTTTTGATTGGGCCCAGTTCAGGCCATATCAATTGAAAATATTTCCTCCAAAACTTTAGAAAAAAATAAATCATTTTATCCAAATTTAATTAGCACAATTATTGTTATTATTATTAAATTTTATAATTGATTATTTTAAAAGTTTTACTTGAAATACGTACTTAAATTTTGACATTTGTATTTATTAGTATGAAAAATTTTTAAAAAGCACACAAAATTAATATTAAATCAATTGTAAGTGATAATGGTCCCTCCAAAATAATTTGTAATTATTAATAATATATATGTCGCTGATTTCATATTAATAAGAGATAGGTTGAGTCTTAAATATATAAATATGAATATTTCACCATGTATCGAATATGTCTTTTAAGTTAGAAACGTGAATCTGTGATTTATATATTTATTTAAACTTTTTTTAAAAATTTAAAACCACACAATTTTGTATTTAAGTTTCAAATTGTAACAACATGTTATTAATATAATTCACTAAAAAAAAGTTATTGTGATATTACACCATTAGATTTGACAGTAAATTTTAATTTAAATATATATTCAAATTTTGACATTTACGTTTAATTGTATAAGAAATCATAAAAACGCACAATTGGTATTAAATCAAATTGTAATTGATAATAGCCCTTTAAAGCTAATACCATCTCCAAAAATTGATAATATTAATATATATCATAATTTCTTAAATAAGAAAAAGCATAAGTACATATAATATGTTTTTGGAAAAACAATTACTATACAGTGTTTTACCATTGTAGAAAAGAAAAATACTATCTTGTTACTTTTTAGATTTCCACACTTAGGAATGAACGTAATACTAAATGTCTTTATAGCACGTTCAGTACGAGGAACAGCTTTTTCTATTTTTATGTATTATTTCTTCTCTCGCTTGGTTGGCAAATAATTAAAAAAAGAAATTAAGTATTTGATTTTATTTTTCAATAATTTGATAAGAAAAAATTTGAAATTGAGACTTTTCTAATAGAGATATTTGATATGGAAACCACCTTTTTTAAACATTAAAACTCAATAATATATTATAAGGTAAAAGTGTACATACAGTTTTTAAACATTAAAAGATACAGTTTTAAATATTAAAACTCAATTTTTTTTTGTGTGATATCTTGTAGAGTTATTTTTTCCCTTATTAAACAAAATTAATAGTCTACCTCTTGTGAGAAGAGAAGTTATCATAATATATTGTGAGAAAAGAAATTATTCATGGGATGTTAATTGAGAATAAAAATATTTATAGGGGTATAAGTGAATTTTACCCCATATGAATGGTGAAAGGTTGTTAAGAAAAAGAAGGGGTGTAACCTTGAAATTATAGATATATGGCTTGGGTTAGCAGATCAGAGTGGCGCAGCGGAAGCGTGGTGGGCCCATAACCCACAGGTCCCAGTATTGAAACCTGACTCTGATATGGAAGGAAACTTCTTGTGTCCACTTTTTTATTTTTTATATTTTTCCCTCCAATATATCCCACCAAGCGACGTCGTTTACACCTTCAACACAAGCCGTTTTAATCCAAATTCCCCTTTCTACCCCTATCATTTAGCTTAAATTCAAAGCAGAGATGGCGTTATTTAAACGCTCCTCCCCAAATCACCCCTTTAATAACCGTACCAAAACCCCGCGCCTTTTGCAGAATCTCTCAAGAAAAAACCAGACCCCTTCCTTTTGGTCTTCGGCTTTGTCTTCGTCAGTCAAAATCAATTCTCCGCCGTTCCAATCTTTATTTTCCGTTCAGTAAAAGAGTTAGCGGTGACGGAGAGTTGCCGGTTTTTGTCTCGGTCTGGTAAACATGTCGGCGGATTTGTACTCCGAAAGGCCTTTGTTCGGTGGAGCAATCTTAACTACATTTCCTCTTAGGTTTCAGGTTACTTTCTTTTCTCTTCTTCATTTTCCTCAATGTCATGTGTTATAGTAATAATTATAACTAATACCCGTGTATTTGATATTGTACGTTGTTTTAGGATGTTAGCAACATCAGGCAAGTTCCCGATCATCAGGTTAGTTTTCCAACCCCACCATCCCCTTTTATTTATTTGTTGAATTTTTATTTCCTTTTTTCTTCTGAAATGTTGGTCTTGTTTGGGATCGAAGGAGGTGTTTGTGGACCCTGCGCGTGATGAGAGCTTGATCTTTGAGTTACTGGATTACAAGCATGAAGTTGGAGATGATGGAAGTGCTGTCTGGTTTCTTCAAGACCTTGCTGTTGAACAAGACGGTGAAGGATTCACGGTAACCGCATGCAATTTTTTATGGCTTTGTATCGATTGTTATGATAGTTGTTCTTTTATGGAAAGGAAAGAGTAAAGCAATTATGTATTTGAATTAGCTTCCTTCTAGTACTTGCTAGTATTGTGGGTTTTACGCTTATCATATCCTTTGAGAATTTTTAATTTGGAGAAGCTTTAATCTTATATTATGAATTATAGAATTATAGGTTTATGGCATTAACATGTAGCTAAGATCCTCGTAAACTTTTTATCGGGTCTATCTAACCCGGTGTGCTGCTTGGCTTCCCCTTTTTCTCCCGGGGCTCTCAACACTTTTAAGTTAGTTTTTTCTGTTCTCTGTATTTTTTTAATTTCCCATTTTATTTTCTTCTAAATTATCAAGTATACCCCGCTAAAGAATATATTCCTTCTTGCTTATATGGCTGAACCATTAATAAAATAAGAACTACAAGTTCTACATGCCCTTTGGTAATTAGGATTAAATTTCTCTATGCATTGTTATGATTGTCTTTATATTTACTTAGGTTCTGTTGATGTTATAGACATCCAGAACGATTGTTTCTACACTTTAAAGAGCTCTTTCCCCTGCACCAGAAGATGGAAAGGAGAAAACGAGAGAAATAGGTGTGGGAAAGAAAAAGTTTTAAAGGCATTGGATTACTTGGCAGTTGTTTGAAACTCAATATGTTGTAGATATAACATTTTCCATTTTTCTCTGTGTTTCAGCTGCTTGAGCAGTCAGCAGCGGTTGAGGCCCCTGGCTTACGTTACAGAAACATCCCAGCTGTTGTTACAACTGCAGTTGGCCAAATGGTATGAGTCATATTGATAGCATGTGACTAGAGTTTCATTCTTACTAGGTCCAACTTTCAGTATTACGCTTGCCTACAGATCCATGCCTTATCAAACATCATGTCATTAGATTGTGCTCTTCCTTGAGTCTCAATGTTTTTAAATCAGCAATTTATTGTGTTATTTTACATGCTAGGCATGGTAACCTTTAACTTCTGCGAAATGTTGCATTTCCTCTGTACTATTATTCGATCTATGTAGGACTTTTCTCATTGAAAATACCACCAGTTTATGATTTTCCTGTGAAAGACAATTGAAGTATGAGGCTTATTGAAGTGAAAACAAATTTGTGTTCTGTTTTTGTCTGTACTTGTATGTGTATGGATGTGCTTGGGATAAAAGCTAAAATTAAGGTTGCAATTTGGATTTGTTCTTTAGAATAATTTTTCTTCTGATTGTTGGGCTACCATATACTTGTATTTTAACTTGGAGTAATTTTATGATTTCAGCTGTGGCCATTCTGTTTTCCTAGTTTAGGCAGTTTTTAAATTGAAAAGTATGAGGTGTATCTGATATTTTGTGACATTAAATAGCCTTAGTTGCACATGTTGAGATCATTTTTTCTGTTCTGTTAATGAAATGGCATTATATTTAACTGAGATTGTAAGATTAGATGATTTTGGCAAGCCAAAGCTCTGCTGGTTTAAAATATTTCTGAACTTGTTGTTTTGAGTTAATTCAAAGTGAAGAATCTGAGATTTTGGAAAGAGTGTATGAATCTTTGGTGTCATGTGTGCTTGTCCTTTATCTTCAATGTTCATGAGCTTTTTAGTTCTGATTGATCTGCCCCTAGATCAGACACTCTTTCCCTTGGTTAAAGCAGAACAAAAAGGTTTGCTTTATTGTTCTTCGAGTGTAATACCATGGCTGTTAGATGGTTGCAATTTAGACCTGCTGGGATAGTAATATGTGTCTTGTAAATTTTCCCCTAAATTTCCTTCTCTGAGAATTTTCTGGGATGTGATTGTAGATTTGGAAACTTGAGCTGAGCTCTGGGCTTCAGTACGTGGTTAGAAAACCATTGGTTGGATTTCTCATTTTTCTTCCTTATATTTCTCTAAGGCGGCAACCTTGCTAAAATTTTGGCGTGTTTTTATGCAGCAGAAAAAATCTATGACTGTATAAAGATGTGCTTTTAAATCATTTACTAGTTGGATAATAAATTTTTTATGAACATACTTTCTATGTACAAGATCAGCTTATTGAAGATGGTTTCTAATACCCTTGCTTTATGAATTCAACAAGTTCACTGGACTCTCCCTTCCCTTCTCCCCCATCGTTGCCTTATATCTGTTAATATCATCTCTCTCTAATTTTGTTACTTATGCATAGGCTGTTTCTAAGGGAAGGCAAGGAAGAGAAGCTCAAAATATAATCAAGGTGCTTTTGCTTTCTGTTTTCAGTTTTCTCTGTTTTTATTTAGTTGTTTCAAATTGCTAAGTGGGGTTTTGATGAATACACATGCAGGTCTATCTGGCCAACCTACGTCTTAAGGAAGTTGGGACAGATGTTCTGATAACTGCATATGAACCCATCTTTATACAGTAAGTGTCAGCGCTTCATTATCCTTTTACCTATTAAATAGTTGTGAAGGTGAGTGTACGGTATTCAAAAATTTTCCCAGAAGCCATTTCCTTTTTACTCAAAAATTGATTTACCAAGTCTTCCAAGGTCAAGCTTAACGTGTTGGCAAACAATTTGGCTGAAAGCAACAATTAGGAATCCTTTCATCTGATTGCTCAGCCAACTATGGAAATATGTCTCAATACTCTGTAACTCGTTTGCAATTATGTTACTATGATTGGCAGCCCTTTGAGCCATAGTGCGAGTGCAGTTGGTGCTGGATTAGCTGTTCCTGCTATGCAATCTGGGTTTGTGCCTATGGTTGAAGTCTTTAAACTAGCTGTTACCAGCTTCAAGGTGAATGACTGGAGCCTTTTTACTCCTCCTGTTTGAGTTGGGGCTGAAAATCCTGATTTTCTGTTGGTTAGTATTATGTAATTATTTCATTTCATTTCCTTTTTTTTTGGAAGTTTCAATTCGTATTATCAAGCTTAGAATATCTCAAATCTTTAAACATCAAATTTAGTAAGAGAATCGACAAAAACATTATTGGACTGATACTTCCCTCGGCCTTATTGTTCAGTTCATGTTTTCCATGATACTGTCTTATGAAATGGAGGCTACCTGCTTCTAAACCAACAAGAATGCGATGGTCGAGGGACTTTAAGCATGTGTTTGATTGAATTGGGTTCTCCTCAGCCGCGCAAAATGGTTGGTTTGACTGCGGAATTTGAAGTGGACCAAGTGAGTGTTCATTTTCATGACAGCCTTTTAGAGCTTAAATGTCAGGATTCACAATTATCTTATAACACAAAAATAAAATACTAGAGAAGTGAAATCTATTAGATTGAATCAAATAGAATAAGTTTGTTCCATCTCAATGGAAGAAAAAATGTAAACTAAGCTGACCACCAAGGTTGGTGGTGGGTAAGATCGACTAAAATCAACTTATTCGATAAAATTAAATCAATTAAGTCGATTCTATTCAATTTAAAAAATTTTAATAGAGTGATTAAATTACTCGACTTTAAAATGAATAATCAAATTATTCTCTTCTGGTGCTTTCTTTCCACTGTCTGATTGCTAGGATAGAGTTTAAACCCATACCTTAAAAACTTTATAAGATCCCAAAAGCATAGCATGTCGGCACATAAAACACAATTCTTGTACACAGAAAGTAGACGAGAGAATCTTTCACACCCAAATGATTCATTTGCAGAAAGATGGGAGATACAGCAATGTCTTTGAAAGGACTTATCACATCGAAATCCTCAGCCCTCTCTCCATATCTAAACAAATAATACAACTCTTGTGCCAAGTTTAATGCTCTAGCAGTGTTTGTTTCTCATGCAACTGCTTCATCAATCATGCACATGGAATTTCATACAACTGTCTCTTGCACTCTGAAAACTACTCTTAAGCTACCATTTCCCAAAAAAGAACTTACAATTCATTCTCTCTGACTTATTCCCTAAATTCACTGGTGGTTTCCATATGGCTTTCTAGTCTATTCATTTTCATCTTTGTAGAACTTTTAACAAGAAAAAAGCAAAAACCCAGAAAATAAGATATTATAAAGTGATAAAAGAGTCCTTTTCAAGCAAAAAGTTGTTTCATTTAACCCATCAGTTATAGGTATGCATGTTCATCTTTGACCTATTTTTAACAAGAAAAGAAAGATAAAATCATCTTGGATTCAATTTCTAATATAGCATGATTTGAACGATAACTTTATCTTTTAAGACAATGATGTTATTTGGAATTTACTCGAAAAAAGTTTTTTAGTTAGTAATTCAAAAAGACAAAAAAAAAAAAAAAGAAAAAAGAAAGAAAAATGAGTACCTTGAGAAGTCTAGGTAGGGTTGGAAAATTGTTGAAGATTCCATGAATTATTCCATAGTCTATCACGTGACAATCAGCTAGTTTGAAATTAAGAGGTTCAGTGGGGGCCAATGTAATTAATATTACACACACACATATATATACATACATTGGTTTTTATCATAGATTCATGTTTTCACACCAATGTTGAATTTTCTTTCGGTGGGGGCAATTCACATCAAAATGATAGCCAAAATCTAGAAGATGATAATCAAAATCATGATTCATTGACAATGACATATAGAAATTTAAAGGTTTCTTTGCAAGCATCCTTCCAATAACTGACAAAAATATTCTAAAATCTTTCTTATCATTCATATATGCATATAAAACTCATTTTTATCTTCATGGAAATCGAATAATGATCGTACAAATCGTTTTCACAAGTCAATAATTTAACGAACCCCCCCCCCAAGTGTGTGTTGCTACTTTGCGTGTGCGTGTGTGGGTGTGGTTATTAGGGTTTTGTTAATGGTAAACTTTTGCTGCTGGGAGCCTTTTCATGAACAGAAACCTTGTTCAATCATCAAAGTGTTCACATATAGTACAAAATGAGATTTGAAATGTCCATGAAAAGTTTTTGGCCTATATGTCATTAAGAATGTATACAACGTGTCATCTGAACATTTGACTCACTGTTAAGTATGTGTTTGATTAAATATTATGCATGATCTTTTTTCGTTTGTGTATTATGCTTATAGAATCAAATTCAAGCCATTTAAATGAATTAATATGCATGTATGCTTGTAGTATTAGTTTTAAGGTAAATTTCATCCATGTATTTCTAATTTCTTATTTTGATTTCACTTTAATCTATAATCTCTAAACTAATCTATTTGGATTCTTAATCTTTTAAAGTGATTTCATTTTGGTCTTTTCGTTACATTAGTATGTTAATAATTGAGAAAAATTTCCATGTGAAATATCAAGAGAATAATCATGTGGTGTTTCACGTGATTTACAATGTGAACATTACATCAACTTTAATAGAATGATTTGACGAAATGATCAAAATAAAATCATTGTTAAAACTTAAAAATTCAAATGAAAAAATTAAGAGATGAGGGACTAAAATAAAATTGGGATAAATGATTACGGATTATAGGTGAAATTTATCCACAAGACTTCACACTAAGTTATTTATGAAAAATTTATAATTAATAGAAAAAATAGATTATATATACAAACTTTTTTTTAATGGAAACTAAATATCATAAAGACTTCACACTAAGTTATTTATGAAAAATTTATAATTAATAGAAAAAATAGATTATATATACAAACTTTTTTTTAATGGAAACTAAATATCATAAAGACTTCACACTAAGTTATTTATGAAAAATTTATAATTAATAGAAAAAATAGATTATATATACAAACTTTTTTTAAATGGAAACTAAATATCATACACACTTAATTACTAGTCTTCTCAATCATCTTTTCCCTATACAAATTTCTCCCATATATATATATATATATATATATATATATTTAAAGAATATGTGACATGCATGGTGGAAATGACAAAGGGTTGATGGTAAAATAGAGTAAGAACAATGATGAGTTAGCCATTAACACGATGGTGAAAAGACCTAGGTCGCTCTGAGGCAGCTAGTCCAGCCTAGCCCAGCCCGGACATACATAACTGAATCCCCTGTAAAGCAACCACCGGCTCGAAACTAAGAGTCATGCATGATGTGACCCAACTGATCCAAATTTCTTTACCTTTTTCCATTTTTTTTGTCTTTTTTTTTGTCGTTTGTGTTGACATCAGCCCTAGGATTTTGGAGGGAAGGGATAAGATAGGTGGTGCCACTGCAACAGTGCCACCTGGTAAGAATTGGATATGGATGACGTCAGCCCTTAGGGCTGAGAAGATTCCAACTGTCGAGAGTGACATGGCACTGTCAGCCCACCCACCAACTTTGCCAGACAGACTGGAGAAGGACATTCCAATAAGTGAGCTGGAGGGTAGGTCCCACACTCTTCAAAAAAACTCTTTTTTTTTTTCATTTTTTTAAATTTATTTTACTATTTAATAAACAATAACTACATCGAGACGACGATAATTATTTTATTATTTCGTAATTTTAATTTAATGTAATTATTGAAAATGTGATAAGGATAAATAGAGGGGAAATAAAGACTTATCATGGACTATGACTGGATTTATTAGAAGCAAGTGCAATTATGCAAAGGGTACTTGTCCAAAGCCTCCTCCAACCTTAACTAGCTTCTTGTTTCGTCTCCATCATTCGCTTGGCTTCACGTTGTTGTGCTTTGTCATCCAAGTTTAACCCACTTGTGTTTATTATTGTACCCTTCCCTAATTTTCTCTCTCCCTCTTTATTGGATGTTTGCAAAAATGCAATCTTTCGAGATCCGACAAAATATAATTCGATCGAATTGTTTGAATCAACGATAAGATTTATAAAAGTTATTTCGAATGTGTTTAATGTGCTCATGATTATATAAAAAAATCAAGTAATTACACGTTGGTTTATATAATAGCTTAAATAATCTTTTTCTGACATAAATCAAATTACTCAAAAAACAAAAATACAGACGTGATTCAACAACGGTTGTCTTTGGACTCGTCAGTTCTTTTTCCAAATGCCATAGTCAACAGGTAGGAATGCACATCAAAAGAAAACGACCCTCCCCCCAATAGGGGAATTCTTTCAATTTTGTCCAATAAAATCACTGTCACATTTACTAAAATTTTACGGCAAATTCCATGATAATTCCAACTTGGGATTTATTTTCAGATTTATAAAGTCCGAGAATGCAACTGTATTTCAGCACACATCCACTGACTTAAACCTTACGGAGTCGTAAGGTTGGCTTTTTGATTCAACATTTTTTCTTCTCATCTAGGCCTAACACATTTAATTGCGTTGATTTTTCCACATATGAAAAGCTTTATTTTTTTTTTATTTTCTAAGCTTCTTTATATTAAGTTGACTTGAAAATTGCCTTTTTGGACTTTAAACCTTTAGAATTAATTTAGCAGGCCTTTTGTCTTTTTGAGAAGCGTATATATATTCATATAAATGTTTAGTAAAATAACAGCAAACACTGATTAGAGTTTGCTGTCATGAAATCCCAGTTACAGACTCCATGCGATGTAACAGTTTATGACTTGAAAGGCATTTTATCAAGGTGAAAGTGCCAACAAGTTTCCAAACAAAGAAAAACTTTGTATTTAAGATTTTGGGTTTTTGTAAATTTTTATTATACATATATTAAGTTTTAGAATCATCTTCAATCCTTAATCAATAGTTTAAGGATAAATTAAACTAACTACAATGTTTAAACTAGTTGACTTAGCATAAACACGGTGTCATAAATTTAAGACTTTCTTTTCGAACACGGTGAATATTATAAATATATGTAGCTAATTTACACTCATGCTACAATTTGAAATTTTATGTTGCATAAAATGTAACTAAAAAAGGATTAAGAACATAGAGATGAGTTTACTCTTATGATCTAACAATAGTAAATGACAAATTAGCTAATTAATTTGAAGCTAAGCACACACACCCTTTGAGATATAAGCATGCAGAGGGAAACTATCAAAGGAAAGGAAGAAAACAAACCTTTTTCTGAACAGTAAAATAAATCGAGGGGACAGAATAGCTGATGAGAAACATAGGAAAGCATCATCTCCTCAATCACATAACAATGGCTAGTAAAAGAGGAAAGAAAGTGGAAATGAAAGGATTGAGGAAGAAGGTACATATTTTTTACAAAGGAAAAAATGACTACGAGGTAAGGTCACTGTAGCAAAGGAGAAAAGACCCACTCTCTCTCGGCCATAAATACATCTTTTTCTAGTGCTGTGGGTACGGAAAGTGATGTGGATTTTCTGATTGGCTTTCCCAGCTTTTCCAACTGGTGCAGTTGACAATCTCTCTCTCTCTTAATCTGTCAATTCTTTTAAGCAAGTCTTTTTGTGCATGCCAACCTGTCATTCCTTCTAATTTTCTCTTCTTATACAGCAGTAATCTTCCTAATCATTGAAAGGAATGTATAGCCTAAGGTGAAGCTTTCTTAAGCTAGAGATTGATTGATCTTTTGTTCTTGTACAAGTAAAGGATTTCTTTATTTTATCATTCTCTTATCTTGCTCAAGAGATATAGGACATTGTTTTAATGATTGGATTCATTGGACTTGCCTAAGATTTTCTCCTTGGTATAGCTCTTGATACATTTTTATAATTAGGGGAATGGGACAAAAATTAATAAGCATGGTATATGCATCATGACCTTTATAGTTTAGTACACACATACATGTATATTAAAAATATCATCTGTTATGTAGATTAGTTAATAAATAAAAAGACATGGCATGTACTTGGAAGCTGTATATTGATTAATTACATTCCCGAGCTGCAAATATTGATAATCTTATCAAATTTGGTGCTCAAAAATCTTGTAATTTTGTATTTTTAGTTAATTAATTTAAAAAGATAGTGTCGGTATAACAAATCTCGTGTTACATGCTTTTGTTATGTAATTTGCTTTTATATTTAAACACTAAAAAAGAAGTGTATACGTTCTCTGGGTGAAATACTGGATTAAGATGTTAGATCTGTAACTTTCAAAAGCAACCAGCCAGCTTGACCAAAAATAGGGGGAAAAAAGAAGACTAAAATTTTCTTGTAGCTCAGAAACCGCCAACATTCCGACAAATTTGTTTGAATAATTAGCTCAAATGGAGGGTAAGCCATCAGCATCACCAGCAAAGATCGATGTCAAGGCACGTGATTTTCCACATAGCAGAAGCCTTTACCGAGAGAGTTGATCCAATGGGGGCTACACAACATCACTTCAAGAACAGAGCTGGTGGCTTTCATTGTTTCTTGGTGTGCCAGATAGTACTGCTGGGACCATGGTGGAAACTCTAGCTAGCATGGCTTGATGAAAGTTGTAAAATGTTATTTTTCATTCCCTTTGTTTTTTCTCTTACTATTTGTATAGAAATAAGGGTTTTCTTGTAAACGTGTTTGTAAATCTCTCGAACAGAATGTAATTAATCTATAAAATTTGATAAAGATGATTTTGTCTGATAGAATTACAGATTGTTTAGTTTTAGACACAAAATAATATTTGGAATTCTTATATTTATGTTTAGAGTTTTCAAAGGGAATGTGATTTTGTTGTTGACATTATTAAGAGTACTTCATTCAGAGATAACCTTGACATTGTTGGTTTCATACCAAGAATCATTGGTTTTGTAAAAGAAACCAGAAATGAGATACATAATCCCAATCATATTGAAAGTTACAAAGCCAAAATTCACTCGCAGATAGTCTGATTAAACCAGAAAAGAGACCTCATTCTGCTCTTCTGTAATGTTGTGATACAAAGGGTCTTTCTTTAATATCCTTAGTCTTGATTTTGGATCTGTAACTATGCAACTATGGTTTCATAATCCAATCTGTGCTGTGATATTGAGACAAGAAAGGCATGGTTCAATGTTGGGGGGTGAAAAGGTGTAGGGAAGTGAATGACATGACAAAGTGGTACAGTTCTAAATCAGAAGATTATAGTACAAAATCAACATTAATCCCAAGCTTCACGACAGTCTTAGGAAGGGTCATTATCGAGATCAAATTCCCATTAGTGCTGTTTTAGAGCAAAAATGATTACAGTACTCGAAAAAAAATTTAGGTTTTATCATTAGTTAGGTATGTTGGTTGTTGAAATATATTTGAAAGTTGCCATATTTTGCCAATGTGTTTGTTTTTTGTTCCCTTTTAAGCTACACTTTGGCCTGTTAGGCACATGGGATGGACGTGCTATGCTTTCTATCTTTTTCTTTCTCTCTCATGGGTGGTGCAGGCTTGTTTCTTTCATTCTGAATTATATATATGTGTGTCTGCATATATATTTCACTTGTGTGGTATGTATACTAAATGTATTTCAATAAAGGACAAGAGCTATGAAGAAGAAGATCGTTCGATAGGAAAAAAACTCAGGTTCAAATTAGAGAGTTAGATGCATGGTTTCTGGTCTAGGGGTAGAATTTTGTGCTTTCTACCAAATTAGGTTTTCCATGCATCAATTTACACTATAATCTCAATTATAACACTCTTTCAAGAGACGTTACAGTATAATGTAAATAGAACTATCTCGTTACATTTCTGTTTTTGTTAACATGCTTGTAAGGGAAAAAAATAAATTTGAAAATTAGATCGTAAATATATACATATATCAAAATCGTAACACAAAAGGGTTTTGAAACCTACATATTTCTTTCACTTCATGAACAACATATTCCCTATGGCAAGTCAACTGGTCCGAGGATTAAGATTAGTGGTCTCACAAAATATTGGCTCTCTTTCTCTCCCAC